GAAAATTCAAAAGAACTAACTGTAGATAAGCTAATAGTTAATGGTTGCTGGAATTTTGCGGCTGTTGAAGGTATGCTGGATGAGGATGAGAAGTGTGACATTAGAAGAATTAGAATTCCTGCTTTGAACATTAATGATAGACTCGTTTGGTTGAATAGTAAGGATGGTGACTATTCTGTGAAAATGGGTTACAGGACTGCAAAAGAGGAATCCGAGAAGTGTAGGAAAAAAGGTCCTGAATCATCTTACCAACCTTCTAAAAAACTGTGGTGCAGCATTTGGAAGATCAGAATGCCTCCTAAGGTATTACAATTTATGTGGAGAGCAGTTAGTGGTGCTTTAGCAACTAAAGAGGCTCTTTTCAAAAGAAAATGTTCTAACAGCCCTGTATGTGAGATCTGCAAAAGTGGTATGGAAACAATTGAACATTTGTTGTTTTTATGTCCCTGGGCTAGACATTGTTGGTTTGGATCTCCTCTATCTTTACGATTTGAAGAATCTGGTTTGAGTAGTTTTGGAAGATGGATTGAAAATTGGATATTGCAGAAAGAGGGACCTGATGAGGAGGGACTAGCAATTTTTGTAGGGATCTGTTGGGGAATTTGGAAGGCTCGATGTAAGTTTGTGTTTGAGAAGACAGAAGTTGATGCATGTAGTTGTGTGATGAGTGCTTTGAGGCTGGTACGAGATTTCGGTGAAGCAATGGTTAAGAAGAAATTGGTGAGAGCTGCTGTAGAACCTGTTGAGAGAAGCTGTAGACGGGAAAGACCAGCAAGTGGAGAAATAAAACTAAATGTAGATGCTGCATTTTGTCATGATAACAGAAGGGCAGCAATTGGGATTGTGGCAAGAGATGAGGATGGTTTGTTCATTGGGCGTTTGGGAAAGGTGGTGGAAGCTGATTCTGCTTTTATGGCAGAATGTTTGGCTGTGACTGAAGCATTCGAATGTGCTGAGTTTCTCCATGTTGATCGTGCTGTAGTGGAAACTGATTGCCAAGATTTGTTTTACAAATTGAAGAAAATGGATGGTAAGGGGTGTGAATGGGGTAGTTCTGATATGTTGAAGTGGTGTATCATGTTGAGAGGCTCTTTGAGGAATTGGTGTGTGTCCTTGGTGGCTAGATCAGGGAATGAAGCTGCAGATCACATGGCAGCTTGTGCTATAGGAGGAATGGTACCGAATGGATGGCTGAATAGGCCACCATCCTCCTTGTTGACCTTTCTGCAAAAAGACCTCCATGATACTGAACTATCTTCGGTTGCTGATGTGGGAGAAAGAACAGGAATTTGTTGATTTTATTTTATTTCTTTAATCTTGTGCTACTTTCGTTTTGTTCTTATCCTTTTCTGCTTTGTCAGTATCTTTTGGTATTTGTAAGCTTTTGCTTGATTATGAAATAAAAATATCGTACTATTCAGCTAAAAAAAAAAAACTCGTATAATAACAAATGCTAAATCCTCATAGTCCCTGTTGAGATGCCGCCACGGTGCCACCATCTAGATCTCACATTTGGTGGTTGAATCATTAAGCAGATGAAAACACCAAAGAAGACGATGACATGGAAGAATTTTAGGGATTTTTTGCCTGTGCGAAATCGACGCGGCAATGTGCGTGCTTGATTAGATGTTATTCAGCGCCACATCACCCTCTTGCCAGCTTAAACTAACGGAATCTTGACAGAAGGATTGGTTTAATAATTGAACAAACAATAAGGATTAAATAAAATGAAAAAAAAAATTATAAGACCTAACTCAAAATTTGGTCAAACTATAAGGACTTGACTTAGAGGTTAAGTTTTCCAAGATTATATTACCTACTAATTGAAACATATGGAGAATTAGTGTAGAACAAAAATATATTTGCCAATAAAATGTGTGGGAAAATATAAAAAAATTGTTTTGCAGCTCAAGAAAAACCTATATTGGTCATGATTTAGTGCTTATTTGAATTAATTTATTTTAAATTATTTTAGTGAGGTAAATATGTGATATGAGTTAAACCAGAAAAGCATTTTTTTAAGTGCTTTTACGCTTAATGGGCCCATTTGGATTAGAAGTAAAAAAGTAGCTTATGTTTAATTTAACTTTTAAAAAAGTTAGATTGGATAAAAGTTAAATTAGGTAATATGATTTATGTTTTGATTGACTTTTATAAAAATTAGTTTTTAAAAGTAAAAGTTATTTGGATTATGATTGAATAAGTAAGTTTAGTTTGTAAAATGACTAAAATGGGTATAACTTTTATTAACTAACGAAAAATTATTAAAAAAAAATATGAATTTACAAAGTATAATAATTTTAAATTATTTTAATAGGAAGAAGTTAAATTTAATGAATCAAATATATTTAGAAAAGAAATAATAATAACGTGAAAATTTTTGAATTAAATAATATTACATAATTAGATATACCCTACACAATTTATGTAAATATAAAATTAAAAATAATATTTAAAATTAAAAATCTTATAAAAAAACTATGTTAAAAATTATTTTCATTTAATAGAACATAAAGTTATTTATAATATGATAATTTTTTTTAGAACATTGTATTATTAAAAATTTTGAAAATGAAAAAACCAACGTATGAGGGAGAAGAGAAGAAGGGCAAATTTGGTATTCAATTTACAATGAATGCTCTCAGGACGTAACATTAGACCAAACGCACAAATACATAAGCCATAAGCACCTCTTCACCAACTTCTGCTTTTCACCCTGCTTACTCTGGCTTTCGGCCCAAAAAGAGAATGGGCTAAAAGTTTAACCAAACACCCCCTTCAATGTGCAAACTGAGTTTTCTCACTTATAAGTTATTTTTGCCTTTGTACCAAAAAAAAAAGTTATTTTTGCCTCCCAGACCGCTGCACCAACACACACAATGGCAGATAACGGTTATCTAAATTAACTTTGACCATTAAATGATTATGTTTGACTAGTGCCTTTAACAGTCAAACTTAATCATGAATAACAATCCATGGCAGAATTGTTACCAAATAAAATCTCCATGGCGTATAAAACCCATAAAAACTTATAGTATTAGGTGCTCATTCATAGATACTTCTGGAGTATTTAAACATCTTATTCTCATGGATATATTTCGCGACAGTATTTAAAAAACTATAAGATCCTCTTGGTTTTTGATGTTTTAATATTGAACTTCCATTTATTATTTATGTATCCACTTAATAAAAAGCAGGCCAAATCCGGCCATTTAGTGCACCATAAAACATTCAGTCCAAGTGACAAGCCTTTTTTTATTTATGCCCTGTCCATTCCCAACGTGTCACTTTCTTGTATGTATTTTATTCTACTATTCTTTTCTCTTCCCAGTTATTATCCATATAAAAGTTTGGTTATTTTATAATCTCCTTGTAAAATCCCTTAATGAGGATTATATTGTGATTGACCAAAACAAAGTTGTCTTTCATGCTAAACAACATATGACTAGGTTTTCATGTTAATAGCTCTAGAAACCACACCATGAAACTATTTCCTCCCTTCATTCAATCTATAAGCCATTTTCAATAAGTTTTATCAGAACAAAAAAAAATCAAATATTATTAACTCTGTTTTTAAATTTAACAATATTTCAGCTTTACTCATTTTTTATACCCACGCTATTTGAATACACAAAATTTATATTATAAGAAATAAAAAATAAAATTATATGTTTACATAAAAATTTAATCATCTGACTTATAAATAGAAAAATTTCTCCTTACCTAGTAATCAGTATTATGTTTGATGTGCTGATTTTCATAAAAGAGTGATTTTGAAATTAGCACCTTTGACTGAAACTTAACGGAACACATATTTTATCTAGTCATTTACTATTTTCAAATTAGTTAAGAAAAAAAATAATATTATGATAACAAATATATATTAAATGCCTTTTCTTTCCTAGTTTTTCCCAAAGACAATGAAGGAGCAAATCCCCTCCCTAGTACTCTTTTCAGTTTTATTTATAAGGCTCTGTCCATTGAGAACCACGCCTTTTTATGAAGTCCAGCGAGCTATTTCAGTCCTCAGGTAATTTTATAAAGTTGTAAAATGTTTTTTAACATTTAATTAATTTTAACTGATTGTTAATTTTAAAAAATTAATTGACAAGGACTGGTCAAAAGGAAAAAAAAAAAGGAGATGCAAGGAACAATTGGCAAAAAAGCCCTTATTTGAAATTTATTAGTAAAAAACACTTGATATTCTTTTGAGATAACTGAGAGTATTCTCAAATAATTTGAAACCAATCTTTATGACGTCGGGAGTGTTAAAATTATAGCTCTACTAACAAATGCGCTTCTCGATATTTGAACTTATGTTCTCTTCGTTACGGGCATAAGACTATTTATCATTTCAACTAGTTATTGGTTGATATAACCACGTCTTTTTTTTCCTCAAAATAATATTTATTTATTACAAATAACTAACTTAATTAATTTTTTAATCTATTCAAATTAGTCAATTAATTATCATACTCCTCCGGTCCTAATATAAGACCCATTTAACTAATTTGATTAAATTAAAAAAGTTAGATAAGTTAGTTGAGTATAAGAAATGTGAAACGTTTTTTCTAAAATATTATAATCATCTTTCTTAATACTCCTTCTTCCTCTTTTCCTTGATTATGGCTAAAAGAGTATCTATATGAGTAATTTAGAGAAAATTGATAAATATGAGAAATGAGTATTATATTTATAATCAAAACCAACTCAATAATTAAGTCCTATATTAAGGACAGGAGGAGTACTTTGTAATAATTTGAATAGTTAATTAGTTGTTCATGATCCTGGTTTCCTTTGTTTGCTTACCCAATACACTTACCGGCAGTCCCAACACCCAAACGCTCTCAACTGTCTCTGCCAAGTCAAAAAATTCCCAACCAAATTCAAATGTTTTTTTTTTTTTTCCCTCATTTCCCTTTCTCTCTTCTTCTCTATAAATCTTCGTCTCCTTGCTTCGTTTATGACGAAAGGTTTCACAGTGAAGAGCGAGGCTGAAAATGATGATGCTGGTAAGCCCAGGCTCAGGGATTAGAAGGCAGGTGTTTCCGATCAATTACGAAACAGAGGTTTCGCAACGGCTCATCGACGCCGCTCATAATGGCGACACCAACGGTGCTTTGGAATGCATCGCCAATCCTTTCGTCGACGTCAACTTCATCGGAACGGTGAACCTTAAGTGCAGAACGACGGAGATCGTGCTGCACGACCAGTCGCCTCATGAAGTTCGATTCGGATACGAGGAGTTCAAGACGGAGGTCACTGCTCTGTTTCTTGCTGCTCATACAGGGAATTTGATCCTACTTAGGAAGCTCCTGGTAAGGCTCATCAATGCTTCTGAAATACTAAAACAAATAAAGGCAAAAAGAAACTATGGCATTTTATTTTTAAATTTTGAATTGAAATAAGGATCTGAATCTCAATTATTCTTTACTGTTGAATTTTGTGATCAACATTTATATATTTGATTTTGTGCAATAAATTAATTATTATCTACGGGGGAGGCTGATTGATGAAGCTATTTAAATCTGAGCATTTTATTTGATGCATACTTTTTTCTGTTAAACTCTATTAAGAGTATTATGATGTCTTAAAAAATGGGATAGAATGTTGGAGGTGATGTGAATGAGAGATTGTTCCGGGGCTACGCCATAACGGCGGCGGTGAGGGAAGGCCACCGTGAAGTTGTGGAAATACTTATTAACGCCGGAGCGTCTCAGGCGGCATGTGAGGAAGCTCTCATGGAAGCAAGCCTCTTGGATTGGCCCATAGCTGCTGAGCTGCTCATGGAATCCAACATGATACGTCCTCATGTTGCTGTTCATGCCCTTGTCTCTGCCTCTTGCCGAGGATTCACGCATCTTGTCCGTGTTCTCCTCAAGGTAAACTCAACTAGTGATAAAAACACATCATAGATGAGAATTGAAAAGGCGAATATGAGATTGGAAATACCCCTTCTCTAGTCATAAGTAGTCTTAAATATAAAAACTAAAATATAGAAGCTTGATAGCTAATTTACAACCATCATAAAAATTAGTTAACTACTTGTATAAAAATGTGTTTTGGTTTCTCTATAACAGCCATTTTAACCATTTACAGTGAATCCATCCCCATTGATAAAAACTCCTTTTAATATGCGCATTCAGGAAGAATAGTTTCGAAAAAATTATAGATTTAAAAAATCAAATGGATTGAAGTCTTACATTTGTGACCAATAAAGCTGTTTAGATTAAACCAAACCATAATTTGAAAAATAAATTTGTGAATGGACTTTTGAATAATGGATTTTGAGAATACATTTTAAAAGAATGGATTTTGTGAAAAAAATGATTTTGATAAAATAAGAATGTTCGGATGGTTGTTATCAGATTTTTTTTTGGGTTGATGAGTTAATATGATAATTAGATAAAAGATAGATTTTAATTTATATTTTTGTTTGAAATAATAAATTTGTAAATAATAAATGATATATGAAAAAATATAATTAATTAATATTACCTTCAGTTCTTAGTATAAGAGTTAATTAGGTATTCAATTTGATTTTGAATATAAGACACCAGTCTACCTTATCTCACATATTTATCTATTTTTTTCAAAGTAACCCTAATGTTAATTTACACATGTTAAAGGTTCCATCAAATAGCAGTTCCAATACATATTATTAATACATATTTTACAGAATGTAACGCCTATTTAGTATAAATAAATAATTTAACTAATTTTCTTAACATTGACTAATTAGTTATCTAGCTCTTATATCAAAGATCAAAGGTAGTAATTGATATTTATATCCCAAACTATGGTTTTATACCTTCAAAAGCAAAAAAAAAATTCACTTATTCAAACCATGGTTTCAAATTCAAAAGTGACTTTAAGAAAAATATGGTGTTTGGATAGTTTTCTCTTCAAAACCATGGTTTGAAGAAGTATCAGAATACCAACACAAACCCTCCAATTAGCTCCTACCGAAGAGAGCATGAAATATGAATTAGATAGTGAAAAAAATAAAATACTGCTCTTTATGTAACTAATGTATGTAAAGGGTCTTTAAATATCAAATATTAATTTTTTTTCTCCTGAAATCGTTCCCAAACGTTGGCAGCATGGGGTAGATGCCAATGCCATTGACAGGACATTGCTTCAATCTTCAAAACCATTTCTGCACGCTAATGTTCATTGCAATGCACTGTTCGCTGCCGTTGTTAGCAGGCAAATTGATGTTGTGAGATTGCTCTTGCAGGTAATCTTCGCATGCATGAGATCAAATCTCAATTTGAAGCAAAACTGTCTTATATTTTTGTAAAGATTAAAGGCCGTAGGTCTAAACCACGGTACTAACCACTACTCGTACTCAAAACAAAAAAGAGAACAACTTTATGTGATGTGTCATTTAATTAATGCATTAAGTCAAATTGTTTTGTGGATTGCTAAATCATGATCAGGTAGGAATAAGGACAGATATTGAGGCCAAACTAGGGGCTTGGGCATGGGAAACTGATACCGGAGAAGAATTTCGTGTTGGTGCCGGATTAGCCGAAGCATACCCTATAACTTGGTGTGCTGTGGAGTACTTTGAAGCAAGGGGAGCTATATTAAGCATGCTGCTTCATCACCTCTCACCCAACATTTTACACTTTGGAAGGTCCCTTCTCCACCATGCCATTCTTTGTGAGAATGAAAAGGCTGTGAATGTGATCCTAAATTCTGGTGCAAACACAGAATTGCCAGTGCACAAAAAGTTATACGCTATTCACTTGGCTGCACGGCTTGGATCGTGCAACATCCTTCGATTCCTACTTGATGCTGGTTGTAACTTCGACTCACAAACACAATATGGAGATAGTGCATTGATGATCTCTACAAGGCATAAGCATGAGGATTGTCTTAAAGTGTTGGTATCAGCAGGAGCTGATTTGGGTCTTCTAAATTCATCTGGCCAGTCTGTGATGTCAATTGCAAGGTCTGTTAAGTGGATGACCATCTTCCAGAAAGCAATCTTGGACTTGATTCGAGGCGGAAAGGTAGTTAAATCGAGCAATGCGTCTGTGTTTTCGGCTTTAATTTTTGCAACTCGTTCTGATGATGTTGAGGCTTTGAAGGAGCTTATTGGACAGAGGAATATAAATATAGATGAGCAAGATGAAAATGGATTCTCAGCTGCCATGATAGCTGTAGCAGAAGGTAAAGCAGAGGCTTTCAGGTTGCTTCTTAAAGTTGGAGCTGATGTCCTAAAGCTAAGAAACAAGCACAATTTGACAGCCCTTGACCTTATAAATCAAAACAAATCTGGGAAAGCTTTTGAGAAAATAATGCTTGAATTTGCACTTGAAAAGGGGTTTAATGATGTCTCCAATCTTGCATTGAATCCTTTGCATCATGCTGCTCGCCATGGGGACACAAATCTGGTTCATAAATTAATCAAAAAAGGATTTGATGTCAACACTTTCAACAATGATGGATACACCCCATTAATGTTAGCAGCAAGAGAAAGCCAAAGTGATGAAATGTGTAAGCTTTTAATCTCTTGTGGTGCAAAATGTGATATTGAGAATGAGAGACACGAGACAGCTCTTTCACTTGCCAGAAAAAATAGGGTAGGAAATTATGCAGAGCGTGTGATATTGGACGAGCTAGCTCGAAAACGAGTTCTATGTGGGGCTCTTGTGAAGAAGCACACGAGGTGTGGGAAAGGGTCACCACACACTAAAGAATTGAGAATGGTGGAGAGTGGTGGAACACTACGATGGGGAAAATCAAGTGGAAGAAATGTGGTATGTAAAGCTGCTGAGATTGGTGCAAGTGATAAATTCAGATGGAATCGCAGGAGGAAGTATGATGTTGATGAGCCAGGATTGTTCCATGTAGTCACTACAAAAAACAAAGAGTTCCATTTTGTGTGTGGTGGCGGAGTTGAAATGGCTGAATTGTGGGTAAGGGGTATTAAATTGGTCAGCACAGAAGCCATCTTTGGAAGGAATTAAAGATATTGAAAACTATATTGTTTATAGAAGTTGTAGCCTGAGATGTGGTAAGAGACAAAGTAGGAGAAATACCAATGTGTTTTGTAAAGTGGTAAACTAATCAATGGTGTTTGTAAACTATAAATTCACAACTGGGGTCCTTAATGTGAATACTATCATTTACTCATGCTGAGACTTAAACATAAATAAAGCACAATTTAATGAGTTAGAGAAATTATGGTTTTTCAAAACTTAATTACTGCTTTAATTTATATCTTGAATGACTGATAATCGTAATGGGGTGAGCATTATGTTTGAGAACCACTGGAGATGAGGAATGTTTAGAATTGGAAGTGGAAGTGAAATCATGAAGTATTTGGTACTAGGAAACTTATCTCCATTTGGAAACAAATTTCATCAAATTTGATGGGAATTGGCTCCATGGCCTATACCATGGAAATGGTTTGAGTTGCTGAAAGTGAGTTTTCTCAGAGTCTTGTCAGCATCCACATGTTACTCGGACAATCTCCCTCTCTAGCATAAACGACAGCAAAAATTAGATGTGCAAGAGTTATGTCTGGGCTTATGGAGTGTTTTTATCATGGGCTCAAAATGACATAACTTCAATTGCATATACTTTGGGATTCCAACAGTTGCTTCCTAGTTCGTACCATGTGCGTGAAATTTATAAAATCATACGTCATTACCCGGTGACTTGAAGAAACCGTGATTGAGGGTTGGAGGATGCTAGGCGTCATTGATTGGGTCCCTTGTGAGTCCAAGTCAAATTTTAGTTTAAGTTTAACTATTATGTTTCCTTTGTCAGCCCTCATTTCGATGGAGAGAGAAAACAAGGGAGGAAATACGCTAGGAAAGAAAATCGAGAGCGAAGCAAATTTTTTCCTATTTAGATATGCAGAAAACTAGGAGAAAAAATTAAGTATGGGACTAGTCTAAAAAAATGTTTGGAAGCATCCAAAAAATACTTCTTAGAAGTATTTTTTCGCAAAATGAGATAAACTTCTCTATATATTTATTTTGTACACCGTAAAAACACTTTTAAAACTATAAATTTGATTCTATTCAAACACCGCCTAACTTTTCCTCCAACTTTTCTCCCCATATATGAAAACTCATTTTCTTTCCATGTCCTCCATCTTTTATTTCTATATTATATTTTTAGCATTTACTAATAATGTTGAAGAATGTAAATTCAAATTCATTTATTTCTTTTTATCATACCTAATTTTAAAATATTATCCATTTTTTATTTATTTACCTTAAAAAATAATATTTTTGATTTTAAATTATTTGATGATGCTAGTGTTAATATGATTTTTCACTGTGGTATTTAATTTGATTTTAATTTTAAGCATCATATATTTTTTACATAGAAGGGTATTTTAGTCATTCGAATATTTACTTATTGTCTTTCATTCTTATTTTTTCTCATTCATTCAAACAAAGAAGGGTGATAACATTTTTTTCTCAATCTTTTGTTCATTTTCTCTTCTTCTATCTTCTTTTCTCTCAACTCTTCTTCCCATCCAAAGTTTTTTTTTTTTTTTAATGATAGCAAGCCGGAGCATTAATTAACATCAGCCATAGAAATCAAGAAGCAGAGTTATAGTTTTAATTAAGATTAAGATTTTATGGACTTAATTTCTAAAGTAGGGTATTAGATTCTTTTACGCTTATTCAAAGGAATATCGATGTCCCATACTCTTTGAATTTTGAATCAAATTTTCAAATAATACCATATATATTTATACATGCGATCTTGCGTTTTTCTGGGAATATAATTGGACTTTATAATTATTATTATGAGTTTAACATGTCTTTATAACATGTTTTCGTTTTGTTTGGTTATTGAATGAAAGTGGAGGAAAAATTTCTTTTGGTATAAGCAAACAATCCTTAAATCGTTTTAGGTTTGAGATTAATTTATGTCTAGTCAAGAGCGTTAACCTTATAGCCCTCCCAACAAGTATACTTCTCAGGATTCGAATTTGCGTTCTCCTTCTTTCTTACGGAGTGAGATCACTTACGATCTCAACTAATAATTTGTTGGTGAAAGAAAATTTATATATATATATATATATTTATCAATTTATACTTTGCTTGGATGAGCTTAATAAAATATTTTTATATTTTACAAGATAAATTTTTCTCATATTTATTTCAAGTACAAAATCACCTTTCGTATCTAGCTAACCCAAATTGGCATTATACGTTAGATAAATAATTTTAAAAAATAATTATTATAAAAGCAAAATGAATTGAAACCTTATTTTAAAACTAAATCCAACCTTTGAATAGTAGGAACACTAGGAAAATTTAAATTATCTTAGGATTAATATGCTTGCCAATATCATCCGCTGGAGCAAAAGAAACAAAATACTTTAGGAAGGAAAAAGAGAATAACCAATAATATTATTTCTTTGGATTAAGGTGTGTTCAGTACCCTAAAGTATTTTGTTAGGTGCGTTTAGTTCTTAAAGTATCTTGTGATGCATCTAGCATTTTGAAGTATTTTAGCTGTTATGTTTAGTATCTTGAAATATTTCGTGGTGCGTCTAGCACCTCAAAGCATTTTTTTCAAATGCATCTAGTATTGTAAAAAAATACTTTATGGTGTTTAATATACAATTATTTAATGGACCTTTTGATGAGTTAATGACGGAATTAAAACTCTTCATGAAATAATACTTTAAAAGCATGACTGCTTCTAAAAAGACTAATACTTTAAGAGCGAAATTACACCATAAGATATTTTAGAGTATCAGATGTACCTGAAAAATACTTCAAGATATTTTAGAATACTAGGCACACCTTACAAAACACTTCAAAATGTTGGACGTATCGTAACTCTTTTTCAGATTATGCGTTTGATAATTTTAGCCTCTTTGTCAACATTCTCGCATAAGTTTGAATTACAATGGCTAGGATGTATTGCTATTTAAATACAAAAGAACCAGGAACCATTATTGTCATAGTATTATATTCTATGATCGAACACCTCTCAAATAATTATTATGACAAAATCAAGCTTTTGTAGGTTCTGCTTTTGATTGTAAACGTTTGTGGGTCAACTCTTCTAAGAATGTCAGATATCCTTTTTTTTTAAAAAAAGTTAAGGTGCGACTAGCACCCCGAACTATTTTTCCAGATGCGCCCAGTGTCCTAAAGTAATTTTCAGTGCATCTAATATTCCAAACTAATTAAAACGGTGCATCCATATCTCAGGCTAATAGAAAAGTTAAATTTGACCGTTACCTTGCTGACTCAGCCGAAGGTTGACTGAAAAATCCTATGTGGCAGACACGTAGGCGTCTGATGTGTATTATTTTGACGGGTTAAGGTACACTTAGCACCCCGAACTATTTTTTTTAGGTGCGCCCAGTATCCTAAAGTAATTTTTGGTACATCCAGTGTCCCAAACTAACTAAAATGGTGCGTCCACATCCTATGCTAACAAAAAAGTCACGTTTGACCGTAACCTTGCTGACTCAGCTGAATGTTGATCGAAAAATCCTACATGGCGGACACGTAGGCATCTAATGTGTATTATTTTGACTGAAAATTCAATTTATTTTCTCCTCTTCTAACATTTATCTTCTGCCAGTTTTTAGACTTAAAAAAAAAACCACTAATTCACCCTCTTAGATTCTGGTACATGTACCACCCATTCAATCACATTCTCGTCTTTAACATTTTATCTCATTTCTTCCACCACTCCAATTTGAAACCACAACCACCATCACAACACACTTTCGTCTCTGTCAACTCCTCAACCGACTCGCATTTGCTTTCCTCCTCCTAGAACACAGTAAACTTCCCCTTGGTCACTCCATTGACATTGCCGACGCTTCCCGAGAAAACACCCATTGCCACCGGGCTTGTCTCGGGAGCTTTAGTCAAAATAATACACATTAGACACATGCGTGTCTGTCATGTAGGATTTTTCAGTCAACCTTCAGCTGAATCAGTAAGGTAACGGTCAAACAAAACTTTTCTATTAGCCTGGGATATGGACGCACCATTTTAATTAGTTTGGGACACTGGATGCACCAAAACTTACTTTAAGACACTGAGCGTACCTGAAAAAATAGTTCGGGATGCTGGGCGCACCTTAACTCGTCAAAATAATACATATCAGATGCCTGTGTGTCCACCACGTAGGATTTTTCGATCAACCTTTGGCTGAGTCAGCAAAGTAACGGTCAAACTTAACTTTTTTGTTAGCCTGGGATATATATACACCGTTTTAATTAGTTTGGGACACTGGATGCACCGAAAATTACTTTAAGACACTGGACACATCTGGAAAAATAGTTCGAGGTGCTGAGTGTATCTTAACCCTTAAAAAAATTAGAAATTGATTTTTTTTTGGCCTGAAAGAAGTTGATTTTAATTACTCTTCCATCCTTTCGAAAGATCTAATTCTTTTCACTTATCTATTTTAAATGTTGGTTCTTTTAACTAAATTTCTAGTTCAAACTTCTCAATAAAAAGATAATTCATAATTGTATAAATACATTGATAACAAACAAAAAAATAGATGGGTTTTGTAACATCCCAACTTTTGGGCCTAAAAGTACCAGAAATAGTCTGAATTGGATAAGCTACTAGATCCCTTTTGAGCAGAAGTCCTAAAGATGAGAAAGGAAGTCAAAGCCAATGTTTTAAAAGCCGGACCGGACATTAAACCGGAAAGATCAACGGGTCACGGTTCAAACGGTTAGATCGGTCAGACCGGTGGTCGGACCGGTTACATAATAATTAAATAAAAATAATATTATATACATATATAATAATACAAATACAACATATATATACATAAAAAATTAAGAATAAAACATCAAAAAATGTAATATAATTACCATTACAATATGCTTCGCCCATGTATACATGTCCATATATCAACCCTCAGGTAAAAAAATATTAAAATATTAGTTTAGCTTCAGCCTACTCCCTGCCCCAATCTGGTGTTGCCTGACAAATAGTCTAATCAACATTAATCTCTCACACTATTTCAATTCACATATTCTGACCCCCGTTCAATTTTTTATTTTTGCTTCTCACACCTTTTTTACCGTCAGCCTCCTAAACTTCTTCTTCTTTATCTCTCACATTCTCGTTGCTGTTAGCTTCCTGGTCATTGTATTTCATTCAACTTGGATTTTGAAACAAAGAAACACACACCAGACGATTGACAGACGAGCAGGACTGGAGGAGCTGGACCAAGACACGGCCACAAACCTTCATCCATCTCCTTCTCGATTTTTTTTTCTGGTTTTTCTTCACCCATTTCCCTCTACAAGTTTAGCCGTCCGGTTCTTACAGATCCGTTCCGGTTTCCGGCTTAAAAGCGGGTTCCGGTCAGAAAACGACTTTTCTCCGGTTCAAAACGGTCTAATATGAAAAACGGCTCTCACTGAAAAACCAAGCCGTGGCTGAGTCCGGCCAACGGTCTAACCGGTCGGACCGTCCGGTCCGGCTCGGGTTTCTAAACATTGGTCAAAGCAGTTTTAAGGACTAAACTGCAAAATAAAAGTTTTCAGGAGCTCAAGTATAATCAAGGCTAGAGGCTCCAGTAAAGTCTTAAGGGCCCAGAAAGAGAAAAGAGAGTAGAAACAGGCCAGGGGTTAAGTTAGAAGTCTTAAAAAAAGGATTGTATGAAGTTAAGTCCAAGCAGGGACTAAACCGCAAAAATTCAGAAAGTTATGACCAACAGGGGTAAAAATGAAAGAATATACAGAGAACTCCAAGAAAATCCCAAAAAATGGGAAATAATATTCTAAGGCTCTTCTGTAAAGAGAAAAGACGAAAATACCCCTGAGACAACTTAAATGGAATTTATAAGGTTATGGCCGGTAAAAAGTACATGGTTCGAGGTAATTATTTAAAATAGCAAGAGACCTAAAAAATGTACACAAAAATGAGGTTAAATTGTTGGAAGGTTGTACTGATTTATAAAATTAGCCTCGCAACCAAAAGGCTAGTGGAATGACTTTAATAAATTAAAAAGCCGGTTGTACCGATAAAAGGGCATTTTAGTAAATGAATTTTTATGCAAGGCTTAAAGGAAGTGTTATGACCTAAGAAAACTCATAGATACTCTCTAGAATTAAAGGGAATTTATGGAGAATACATAAGAATTTTTTGAGCTCCAGAAGGCTATAAAGAAAGCCGGAGAAACATGGGCCAAATAAATTCGGAGGAAATTTAAGGATTAAGTTTTGATTCAACGGCTCCCTTCTCATCCACCACATTTGTGATGCCTAGCACCTTTTAGAAGAATGAGGTAAGGATGATGCAAAAAAATGATGCAATGATGATGTAAAAGTCAACTTAGAGTTTCAAAATTGGTGTTACCCTTTTTATTAGCTACCAAGGGTATTTTAGTCCATTCAAGCCAAAGTTTTGGCTATAAATACCCCACCTTGGAAGAGCATTTTGACAGCCATTTGTAGAGGGAAAACTTTACCAAAATTTAGAGAGAAAAACGTAGGGGTGAAGGCCAAGAAGAAGGAACAAGATTCAAGCTTCAAGATCAAGGTATGTGATGGTTATAGCATCTGCCTTGATGCCTATTCAAATAAGTTATTCTTTGTATCTGATTCTGGAATTTGGCATGATTAAATTACACTCTGTAATCTTTAAATTCATGGGTAGAACACTTCATTTCGATATGTGTACGATTTATGGTGATTTTTCAAAGTTAGGGTCTGAAATCTAGAAACAGTGTTTAACTTTTGGAAAAGTGACGAATTCCATACAATTCTGGTACTGTTCAGCATAGAATTGGTTCCTGAAACTATTTTTCCTTTAAAGATAACTTAAGGAGATTTCAATGAGCAAAAAATTATGTAGTCTCTTGGTCCTAAAGAATTGGAACCACTCAGTTTTGATTTTTCTATAATTAATTATGAATTTTCAAAGTTGAGCAAAAAATTTAGAATTTCTGCGTGAACAGTACCTGCGAAGCAAAATTTTCAGATTTGATCTTCTTGAATCTAAGGCCATCTAAAGTAGTCCTAATTGATAAGAAATGAATCTCAAGGATGGGAAATGATGAGATTTATGTTAGAAAAGCTAGAAAGAAAACCCTAAAATTAAGAGAAAGGGTTGAGGTTCAAGAGAGCTAGTGTTGAATATTATGTAGTCTCTTGGTCCTAATAGATTGTGTGATCATTATGACTATGTTTAGGACCTTAGAACATCCAAGAAGATGTTTGATGATGTTAACTGAATACCCACATGGTTGAAAAGTCAAGGGAGTCAAAGGAAAAGTACGAGGAAAGCTTGAGGTGCAAGGTAGTGAACTTACCTATTGTCATTGCTTGATGTTGTATGCTTGTGTGTTGCTGTGTACATGTTATATGAATGTTAATGTGACATGTTTTAGCTACTATAATTACTATTCATGATGAGTAGATTATGTCTCCATGGCCATGCATCAAGAAGTTAGCTTTGAGCATGCTAATATATCACTAATTAACAAGAGAATAAACAAGTTGCGTGTAGTGCATTAGCATCCATCTAACATGATTAATATGGTATTGTTTGCTACTGAGATTCTTCCGAATCTCACCCCTCCCTAACCAACCATTTAGGTCAATCATCAATGGGCAATAATGGCATGAGAAGCAAGGAGAAGAAAGCGGAGAATTGTTCATGTTAATGAATCATATTATTATTCAATGTGTAATTCTCCTATTATGTAATTTATGTTATGGATGCCTATGATGCCATGTAATTAATTATAATATTTATGGCATGAATAAAAGTGTATGAGCATAAATAGGAAAGAGTAAGCCCATGTTATATATGCCAAAGAAATAAAAATAATTAAAGTAAGGAGATGTTAAGAGATAAAACGTAGGTCCTCGAGCAATGAGTTGTAACTCCAGTTTGACCTATCAAACGAATGAGTTAAGTTATGAGATTTGGCAAACTCATAGTACACATCCCAAGCTTTAAAATGAGAGGTAGATCACCTCAATTGGATGTGTACACAAGGAGATACGAATTTCCAAATTTGAGCCACAGAATCTGGAAGTTTCAGATTTTATGAAATGAATAGTAATATTTATTGATTAAAATGTATGAATTGGGCAAGGATAAGTCCAATTGGATATTTTTTACTTAAAGAGCATTGAAATAGCTTTCTGTAGAATTTTAGAACACCTCAATACGATTTTTATGGAATTAGTTATGAATTTTTGAAATTAAACCTGTAATCTGAAACTTAAACAGTGAATAGTAATCCGAGTAATTAATTGGAATTTTTAAATCAACGGGCTTGTGTCATGATCTGCTTCAACCATAACGCTTATGAATGCGTACTGTGAGGGGTTAAAAGTAGGACGTTTCAGGTTTAAAAGAACTGGACTTGAACTCTAATGGGTTGTTCTTTTCATTTTTGAACTCTATTAGACTAGGTTTTTTAAGCGCAATTTTCTTTTAAACATCTTAAAATATAAGTCCAACTCTTTAAATGGGCTAGGTTGGTGAGCTTGATGATTCTGGGGTGTTTGAGTAGAAACTAAAAATGTGTTTAGATAGAAATCAAATCATGGTTTCAAAAGTATTTTTACGGTTTATAAAATAAATATGTGAAGGAGTTTGCCTCGTTTTGTGAAAAAGTGCTCCTTAGAAACACTTTTAAGGGTTGCCAAATACTCCCTCAACTATAATTTGAAAAGTGTTTTTATGGTATACAAGAGATTGCCTTGTTTTATGCCAAACACTCCCTCTAATTCTAATCTATAGATTATCTGTGGAAATTCATTTTGTTGAAAAGGCATATCTTCATATTCCTCTTGGCGATGCTTCTCTTCTTAACATCACTTGGCCGATAATTTTTCATTCTCTAGTATTGATGTTACCGCTAAACATTGTTTTCTTGGTTTTAACTCCGTTAAACTAGAATTGTTAAGTACTCCTCCGGTCTGTAATATAAGACTTATTTTTCATATTTATTAATTTTCTCTAAATTGCCCTTATGAATACTCTTTCAAGTATAATCAAGTAGAAGAAAGAGAAGGATATTAAGAAAATGATTATAGTGTTTTAAGAAAAATATGTCACTTTTTTTTATAATTAACTAACTTACCTAACTTTTTCAATCTAATCAAATTAATTAAATGGATCTTATATTAAGGACTTGAGTATTTTTTAACTTGTAATTATTTTATTATGAATGTTATTTTGTCCTGGTCCGGAAAAAAAAAAGAATGTTATTTTGTCTTTCGTTTAAAAAAAAAAAAAGAGCAAAAGTTTAGTGTCTTGCTGAGCTGACGTCTGGCGCAACGACATCCGACACGTGAATCATGGGCAAGCGTCGAAGTTAAAACGAATGCAACGTACAGATGGCAAAAGAAATGGAGTCATCTACTGAGCTGCATAACCGAGCGCAAAAGGACATGAACTAAAGATAAACTCTAAACGTTGCCGAATAAAAAAAAAAAAGGACAGCAATTTATCGCAGTGAATGCATATCACGGTCCTGAGATTCAACTTCTCTCTGTCCTGATAATCGGAGGCACCTCAGCTGAGCTTCTGAATTCTAAAGATTTCACTGTAGGATTGTTAAATCGTTTACTTATTTCAGTACTTGATTTGTAACAGTTTCTTGTCTTCTCTTTCTTGAACTGGCATTTTACTTTTTTAGTTCAGTGAAGCTCCCTTGGCTCCTCCTTGCACTTAGGACTGTGAACACTGAAAAATGAAACTGCTTCCGAGAGAGGTCGACAAGCTAACCCTGCATAATGTCGGCTATCTTGCCCAGAAGCGTCTTGCTCGTGGTTTAAGACTCAATTATACTGAAGCTGTCGCTCTTATAGCCACACAGGTTTGTTTCTATCTCTCTTGGTATAAATTTCCGACCTTTTCTTCAGTGATGTGAAGGAGAAAAATCCTAATGGGATTATCTATTTCAATTTTATTTTTCCTTTCCCCCCGTAGGTTCTAGAATTAGTTCGTGATGGTGAAAAGACTGTTGCTGAATTAATGGACATTGGGAAACGGCTATTGGGAAGGTATTATGTCATTTTCAATCTTTTGATGTCGTGTACAATGTCAACGCCATTTCAATCGCATCCCCTCTCTATTTTCCCCATTTTCGGAAAATAGTTCAATCTCTTCAGTTGATGACCAGCTAATAGAAAATGCAGAAGGAGCTATCTTAAACATCTGAAACTTTCTTCCTTTTTTCATCTTTAACAATATGACAGGAGGCAAGTTCTTCCAGCCGTTCCGCATCTCTTGGATTCTGTTCAGGTAGTCTATATTCTTATTCTGCTTAGTGGTAAGCTAGTTATTAGTGTGGATTTTTATGTTTACCTGGCAATTCAACGTAATCGTTACGTATGACTTGGGTGACTGAGGTGGGACATAGAGTATGAGGTTAGTTACTGAAGTCAATCTTGTTAGTAGAAAGAGAAGCTACATGTGTGAGAAAGCGTGTGGATGAGCTTGATTTATGTGAGAGTCCTTTGCTGATATAAATAGGAAGAACTTGATATGCGTCGTTTCGTTTTTGAATCTCAGGCCAAAAATAAATTGTTTATGAATCAAGTTCTATTATTCCCTCTTTGCTACCGCTTTTAAAATTTCAAATGGACAAGTGCCACTAAAATTTTGTTCTATGCACTGGCTCCCACCGCCCAAAAATTTCAAAACTGCGACTTCTGGCAAATATTCGCAGTTTCTATATGGTTAATAAAGTTAATGTATGGCTAACGTCTTAACCACTGTTAACCACTTGTCTCATTGACTGTTTCAAGTAGGAAAAACCTTGTAATTACCTTCTGCAATTCCCTCGAAGAAAGATAAATTAAAAAAACTTCACCCATATGTTATTTTCATTGATTTACAACATAAATTTTATCTAGGTTGAAGCTACATTTCCTGATGGGACAAAGTTAGTCACCATTCATGATGCAATCGCTTGTGAGAATGGTGACCTAGAACTGGCATTATATGGTTCTTTTCTTCCAGGTATGCCCTTATTTTGATCTTTGGATTAGATTTTTTGCTGGATTTTTTTGCTCAGTGCTTTCACCTAAGAGCATGCTATTACCATTCTGAAAACTGATATGATTCTTATAAATTTGCAGAATTCATTTTTTGTATTTGCAGACCAGATTTAATTTATGATATGACTTTGCTAACTTTATAGTTTATCTGTCTCCATTTATTAACAAATTTGTTATAATTTTTACCAATTTAATTTAAAATCTGCATTTTCATTGTTAATGAGAGAAAACAAGTTCATCTTCTTTCCTTCAAGAATTCTTGGGTGATGAATACTTTCTAACCCAACATAATGAGAATTTTGTGAGGAAAAATCCTTGATTTACCAACGAAGAAATGCTCCCCGTTTTTGAGTGAAATAGCTTAGCTGTCTATCATTACCTAAAACACTTAGTGGTACATCCATCTTGAATTAATATTCCTTTCAGACTTATCTCAATCGAAACATACAGAAATAAAAAGGTTCAATGCGCTTTATGAAATCTGTATCTCCTGTTATATTGGTTGAAAATCATAGATTTGACTTGAGGAAATACGGAGGTAGTAATTGATGGTTGAGCCTGTACTTATATTAGCTTTTCTCTGTTGGGAATGTTTTTGGCAGTACCTTCACTTGACAAGTTTCCGGCAATCGAAGATAATAGAATACCTGGTGAGATAATTTCTGGGGATGGAAATCTGGTTCTTAACTCTGGAAGGAAAGCAGTAGTTCTCAAAGTTGTCAACATTGGGGACAGGCCAATACAGGTGAATTCAATAAATTGCCTTTCAGATCCTTTTTAGAGTCAGCAGTTGGAAGACATTTGCGGTCATGGTGCTCAAAAAAGAAAAAAAATCTTTTTATTGAAATTTATTTATGCCTTGTTATTGTTATTCAATGATTAGTCAGCAGACTAATTAGAATTTATCTAAATAAAAACGGAAAAACTGAGATAAAGCAGGTCAAAACAGTGTTCTGTCCTAAGCTTCTATTAATTCTTACTTTCCTTTTTGTGTTTCTAGTTCTGCCACGAATCACACCTCTATAATCATCTAGATCTGATCTATAGTAGCATCCAGCTGATTGAGGATGGCAAGGAAATCTATGGACTGTTAAACGTTTATTTATTATCTTTTCTGTTTTAAGGTGGTTATTTGATGATAGTTAAAGTTGTCTGCAGATATGGAAACAGAGCAATTCTAATTGAAATAAAGCCCATGAATGAGCCGTAAGAGGTTATTAGCCTTGAGAAGTATTATTACCAGCAAACTTGTGATGCTTTGAGGATCCACTCTCAAACTGCTAATGTCATCATCTCAAATCATTCAAAAGTTCTTCTCTTGTTCTCTCATTTGATTGAGGATTCGATTGGGTAGTGATTGATGTGCTTTACCACAATCTCTATTCAGACATGCCAACAACATGAATATGCAACAAAACCCCAGAACATTAATTGCATGAATAACAGAGTTTCAAATCTTAGTGAACACCTCAACAAATGACTTAATACTTGTTGGTAAGTTGCAAAAATCTATAATCTGTGGTTTCAAACTGATTCACGTAATGATATTTATTTGTTGTACTTAGTACTGGGGGATGGTGACATGTTAATTAATTATAGTATGCAAAGTGAAGTGCTGAGTGGAGAATATGGGGAGCAACAAAGGAAGATTGTGAAAACTTTGTTCAAGTCTAACAGAAGGTGTATTCTTGCGTCAATTGGCTGGATGCCTTGGTAAATAAAAGATGGAGTTTTGGATGAGCAGAAATACAAGAATGAGAGGACAAATTGATGGGAGAGATAAATGCCATGCCTTGTTATACTGCATTTCAATATTTCATTTTTTTTATATTATTTACAAATGTGCTGATTAGTATGCTGCACCACCATTAAATAACAATAAAGATACTTGGATTACATAGCAGTCAATTTATAGAAGAATTTCATTGAAAAGGATTTTAATTAGATGAATTTGAAACTAAAGAAACCAATTTAAAATAATTAATAGAGCGACTATAATATTATTTTAAAGCAAAGTTATAAAGTTGAAGCTGTTTAATTTCGCATTTGCTGGTTCAACAGAACTTAATTGAACGGACCATTTTGTAATATTTCAGACAATTTTCAGGTTGGCAGCCACTATCACTTCATTGAAGTAAATCCTTACTTAGTATTTGATCGAAGGAAAGCATATGGCATGCGTCTCAATATAGCAGCAGGGACTGCAGTACGCTTTGAGGTAGAATTCTGCATTGTATTCTCCTTCCATGTTTATCACCTTTAACTGAAGCATATCTCTTCTTGCCAGCCAGGGGATAGCAAAAGTGTTAAACTTGTAAGCATCGGAGGTAACAAAGTCATCAGAGGTGGTAATAGCATTGCTGATGGACCAGTGAATGATGCCAATTTGGAAGCAGCCATGGAGGCTGTAAGCATAAGGAAGTTTGGACACATGGAAGAAGAAAATGCAAGGTGATCCGAGCAATGATTATATATATCTGTTTATTTCTTTGCTCACTCTGCCTTTTTGAATAAATAGAATAATTATTTGTTTCCTCAAATATGATATTTCAGTGAAGGTATTGCAGGACAAGACTCCTCTGTCACCACAACGATTTCTCATGACAAATATGCCAACATGTATGGCCCTACTACTGGTGACAAAATCCGTCTTGGTGACACTGACTTATTTGCTGAAATTGAACAAGACTTTTCTGTCTATGGTGATGAATGTGTTTTTGGAGGTGGGAAAGTTACAAGAGATGGAATGGGTCAGTCATGCGGGCATCCATCTTCTTGCACCTTGGACACTGTAATTACAAATGCTGTGATCATTGATTACAGTGGAATTATCAAGGCAGATATTGGCATTAAAGATGGCCATATTGTATCAATTGGAAAAGCAGGAAATCCAGATGTTATGAGTGGTGTATCTCCTAATATGGTTATTGGGGTAAGTGCTCTTTCAGAGTCACAAAGCAATGAGCTTTTCTCCCCCTCTATAGAAGCCATAGTGGAATTTGTAGATCATATCTTAACATCGCTTATATATATGTCATCCATGTCTAGGTCAACACTGAAGTTATTGCTGGGGAAGGATTAATTGTAACAGCTGGCGGCATAGACTGTCACGTGCATTTTATATGCCCTCAATTAGCATACGAGGCAATATCAAGTGGTGAGTTCCATGACTACAAACATTTATTCTGAAAGTGCTAAGTACTTGTTTTTGCCATTTAATAGCACATTTTACTGTAATAATTAACATAGACTCGCACAATGGTGAATGAAACATTGATGCCTGATGTGTTTAAATCAGAAGTGACATCAATACTACTTAGAGGCCATTTGGTACAAAATGGGAATGGGATAGCTCTGTCCTATAAACAATAGAAGCGTTCTTTCCTATAAAGCTACTTTGTCGTCTATCAAAGGCAATAAAAATAATTTTCCTTACCTTTCTCCTTCAAATAACCTTTCTATATACCAAACACACCACTAAAGGCAAATGTTATGGTAATGTTGTGCTAAATGAATTGTTCTCTCGCCTTTTACAAATCATAATTTTTGTGCAAGTATAGAGAGAGAAGAACTAAGTAGTGTTGTGACTTTAGTTTAACGAATGGTGCTCGAATATAGTCTAAGCATGGCCGAACTTGCCAAAACCTTGCACGGACCTAGTCCAAGCTTGGCTGAGTGTGTTGACACTTGCCATGACCTTGCTCGGACCTAGTCCAAGCTTGCCTGGACCTTGCCCATGCCTGTCCACACTTGCCACAGCCTCGCTCAAACATGCCCACACTTGCCACGGTCCTTTCTAGATCAAGTCCAGGCATGCCCATACTTGGTATGACCTTGTCTGGAGTTGCCCACACTTGCCACAACCATGTCCAGGTCTAGTATAAGCATGCCCATACTGACCATGTCCAGATCGAGTATAAGCATGCCCACACTTGGCACAGCCTTGTCCAGACTTGCCCACACTTGCCTAGACCTAGTCCAAGTGATGCAACACATACTTACACACACTTAGGCTCACGCAAACAAAGATGATTTAATGGAAAGGAGATAGAAATAACAGAGGATAAAGGGAGGGAGGTGCAGAAACAAAGAGGGAGGAAGGGGAGAACGAACATGAAAATGAGGGAGAGATTAACAGAAGAGAGGGAGAGTGGAATTGCGTAGTCTCAAAATTCATCAAAATCTATCTATTATAAGTACCTAACAACATCTATTTATAGACTTAGGTTTCCTTTCTATGAAGAAATCTCCTATCTTTCCTATGAAGAAACTTCAGTCCACTTGCTAAGACAGTCATCACTTGCCAAAATAATAATAAAGCATACCTGGGTTTCCTTCCTAAGAAGGAAACTTAAAAACTAATTAAAAACACCAAAAAAAAAAAAGTCTATTACTTGCAAGCTATAGCAGAAAATAAATAAAATATTAAAGTAACCTAGGCTTCCTGAAAATATTAACTCTTATATTCCATCATCAAGGTAGCCACCATCTTACCCTGAGCTTTGCCAAGACTTGCTTGGACTAGCTTGGAGCTTGCTCATACTTGCCATCAATATTGAGTTCTTCCTTATGGAATGTAACCTCTAGGCCTTTCTCGCTGTGAGGATGAGATGGAATGGGAGAAGGACAAATTAGAGTGATTTGGGTTGAATCTTGGTGGATCATGGCAAAAAAGCCGCTTTGCCACTTAGAATACTTAGTCACGTATTTAGGTCGTTTGTAAAGGATTGCACCACCGCTTGATGGGAATTTCTTCAAGCATGATGACTAGTTGCACGAATCAATGGTTCCTCTCATACTAGGTTAAATTACTATTGTTGGTAACAATAAAGCTATTATCAAGCTGATAGAATACTTATTAGTGTGTGATAATGGGTGATTTGGAGGAGTCAGAGAAATATTAGGAATAAATATTATATTTAAATTATTTTAGATATTTTCTGTTTTATTTAGGTTATTTTTTGATTTGTTGAGTATTCCTCAAGTTTAGGAAAAATGGATTATGATACTTGCATATTAAGTCAATAATTTTGTTTATTTATTTATTATCTAGGTAGTTATTTCCCATTATCTGAGTTGTGGATTATGGGAGTATTTTTAGGAGTTATTAGTTATCTTTTGGCCTTTAAATATTAAGTTTCACCTCATGTAAAAATAATCAGTGAAATAAAATAAAAATTCAGTGACTTGGAGATTCTCCCCTTCACTGCTAAGTTTATTTAACCGAGATTCTTGCTTAAGTAATCCTTGGTGGATTTTATCTTTGGCTGTTGGAGAGTGAAAGTGAGATCCTTACTTTATTTTCTAATATATTAACCCTCATGTTTCCTTTTTCCTTCAGTATTTCTATATTTTGGAATGATCTCTGCCATAGACCCTTAGGTTCAAGTTGTTCTTTAACATTGTCTCAAAGCCTGGTTGAACGTATAGTTCCATTTGGATTTTTGTTGTCCCTAGTCTTAAAGCTAGCATGAATGAACTTGATTTATTATGTGTAGATTTACATAAATTCTGCCTATTTTTTGTCCATGTTGATTTTCTAATAGTGAATTGTAAGGCTGCCAGAATTCAATAGAAAGGACAGACTTGTGTGGTCAATGAATGTTGTTCACTTGTGTTGCATCTACATGGTTACTTCATCGCCGTCATCATATATTATTTTCGATGCACTAGACTGGTTGGTGGTGTTACACTTCTCTCTCACAATCTGTCAACAAAGCTCTAATTTTAGAGAATAGTTTGATTTTTATCCTTTTCTCACTTTCACATGGCTGATATCAGCAATGGCAAACGAGCTTGATGGAATTTAATGAGTCGTTTTGTGACTTATTTGCAGGAATCACAACTTTAGTGGGAGGTGGAACAGGACCAGCGGATGGGACACGGGCAACAACTTGCACACCAGCACCAATTCAGATGAAATTAATGCTGCAATCAACAGATCCTCTTCCACTGAACTTTGGTTTTACTGGCAAAGCATGTTTTCCTCATTCTCTTCTGTTTATACTGAATGCTTGTTCTTAGCCGCTTAACTTTGGTTTTACTGGCAAAGCATGTTTTCTTCATTCTCTCCTGATTATACTGCACACTTGCTTTTGGCAATTCTGTAAAGTTAATTTCTTTTGTCTTGCCATGTTGCACGATACACTTTTATCTCATTTGATTGAACCATCCACTGGTTTCTGCAGGGAAATTCTTCCAAGCCTGATGGACTACCTGAAATAGTCAAGGCTGGAGCTATGGGACTGAAGCTTCATGAGGACTGGGGATGCACCCCAGCTGCAATAGATAGTTGTTTAACTGTTGCAGAACTCTATGACATCCAGGCATTGCTTTGATAGATGAGTCTTTTCGTTTTTGTAATTTTAATTTTGTGTTGCTAACTTTTATTGTAACAGGTTAATATACATACTGACACATTAAATGAATCTGGATTTGTGGAACATACAATCGCTTCGTTTAAAGGAAGAACTATTCATACTTATCATAGGTATATGTTGTGGATTTACCTGTACCTCCTCTTGTCATTCAGGAGTGGAACCAATTTATTGTACATTTTTTTAGCACTAGAACATTTGATGCTATCCTTAATTGACTCTGGGGTGGGAGATGAAATAGACAATTGACTAAAAATTTCTTCTTTTCATGTGACAGAACACTACCGCACCTACACTTGCACTATGATCTTGTATTTGGATAAGATGCAAAAGGTCTCCTTAAGCTTTGGGTTACTTGCAAACAGCCCCTTGAACTTTCAAAATCAGCAGTTAGGTTGCTAAATTTTTGCAGTCCAAAAATGGGGCCTTTTATTTAATTTCCTAGTGACAGAGTTAGTTCATTTGCTGCTTCAGATTCCTATATATCAGCTAGAGATAACTGCATTCAAAAGTGCCATTTTGAGAGGGAAAATGAGTTGGTGCTGTGTTCCAAGAAAATCAGACTGAGGGACCTGTTTTTTGGAATCTTAAAGTTGACCCAATTTCCAATCTTATTAAGTTTAGAGACCATTTGCAAGCAAACCAAAATTTATGGGGCTTTTTCAAATTTTCCATTTACATCTACAGTCACATACTATACGGAGGGAAAATTGGCTAAAGTTTATGAGACTAGTTGGGTCCTGTAGGGCTGGCTAATTTAAGCTCGTCAGTTTTGTATAGGGTTGACCTGGCCCGTATTTCCACCTCTAGCAAGTAGAGTTGGAAAAAGGGGTCAAGCCCGTTTAGGTCGGAAAATTGTGAGGGCTGGGCTTAAAATTTTTCCCTTCAAATGGGAAACGGGCTTAAAGGGCCTGGCCGAGAGCTTAAACGAGCCGGCCAATTTAACCTTTTTATAATTTTTTTTAAAATTTTTTGGTACAATTCTAATATTATTAATTTTTTTACATTGTTAATGATAGTTTAAATATTTAGTTGTTATTATCATTTTGAAATTAAATTTCACATAATGGTCTAATTTATTGGTTTTAGACAATAATTTGTTCGATTAAATTTTAAAAAATGGGTTAATTTGGACTTTAATGATGATTGGATTTATATTATATGTGTTGATATTTTTAAACTATATATATTTTATAAGAGATTATTTTTATATTTATATAACTTGTGATTCTATAATTTGAATTGGAAATTTACGAGTTTCAACAACAATACTTCTCAAACTAAAGTAAAATAATAGCTAGATTATAAAATTTAAAATTGAAATTCCTATAAAGGAGAAAAATTTGATATTTTTGCTACGAAAGAAGAGCATACTTATGAAGAAGAGCAATTGATTATAGTGATAATGAAGTTTCAAAAAATTAATGATAGTGTTCGTCTATTGTACATTTACACTATTGATAGGACTTTTGGATATTGTTGTCTTTGTTGATGGATGTTTTAGATATTCTTGGATGTTGACAGGTATTTAGATATGATGATATTTGTATTTGTGACTTAATTTTATTCATAGTTATGTCTTTTATTCATAATTTCATTGGTTTATTTTCATTTTTTGACAAAAAATGTGAGAAATATGAAAAATAGCTCCCCCCCCCTAAATGAGCTGAAAGCCTGCCGGCTAGCTTGAGCTAGTCAGCTTAAGGGATGGGCCCAGCAAATTAGAGTATCCTTAAAATTTCGGCCCTGTAGGGTTGACCTTTTTAAGCCGCTGGCTCATATTTCCATTTCTAGCTAGTGATCCAAAGTCTGATGGTGGGGTTGGCTGTTCTGTATTGTCGCATCTTGCCACTGATCAGAATGTAAACTGAAAACCAGTGTGTAGACTTTGTCTAACTTGGCTGACTTTTACATGCAATTTGGGCAGTGAAGGTGCTGGTGGTGGCCATGCCCCAGATATCATCAAAGTATGTGGTGTGAAGAATGTCCTGCCGTCATCAACTAACCCTACACGACCTTTTACATCTAATACAGTAGATGAAAGTCTTGACATGTTGGTAAGTAAAAATCTGCTGCTAGTAATAATTATGTTGTTTGTGCCATGGACTTAAGGTCTCAGTTTAGATAGTGACCTGCAGATGGTCTGCCATCACCTTGATAAGAACATTCCAGAAGATGTAGCTTTTGCAGAATCTAGGATAAGGGCTGAAACAATTGCCGCTGAAGATATTTTGCATGATATTGGAGCAATTAGCATTATATCTTCTGATTCACAGGCTATGGGTCGAATTGGAGAGGTTTTTCCTTCACTCAAATCAACACCATTAATTAATACTGTGTCAGTAATCTTGGTGATTATATGCATTTACTTCCTCATTTCTTGGGCTTCAGTTTGGCCGACAGATTCTCATGATATTTATATTCTTATGGTCATATTTTATCTTGTGTGTCACATTAAGATTCATGATTCAAATGGCCTTTCCACTTTCCTAGTCCATTGTATTATTTTGCTTCGATCATGGATTTATTTCCTTGTCTTTCCCATCTTTTGTTTAGTCATGGTGCTCTGGCCAACCATCTCTTATGTAAGTTTTACTCCTTTGTTCAAATAAAATGCTTTCACAGATCTCACAATGTCTCGGAAATGTTCATAATTAATTCAGGTTTTTTTTCTTTCTTCTTTTTGGGGGTCTTGACCATGTGCGTAGAGAAAAAGGGTACTTGCATCAAGAGCATAATTAAATCCTGAAAACTATAAGGTGTCAGCCTGCGGTCTGTCTCTCAATCTGATACTTTTTCTAGTACATAATTGATATCTCTGGACCAAATATATGCCTGCTGTCATAATGTGAATTGCGCATTACGGAATTCCATTGTTGTCATTTCTCCTTCCCTCCAATTTTTGTCTTGATCATGTAAATAAAGGAAATGAGTTCATCATCCCAAATTCATCAAATTTGGACTGTCCAAATTTAGTTTCTTTTTTATTTCTATTTTTTTAAATAATTATTTTAATGGGTATAAAATCAAAAACAAAGATAATCTCTCAACTATCATTTTTTTGAATGATGGTTTTTTTATTGAAAAATAATTTATTAAAAATATTAAATCTAGACCATCCATATCTCATCCGGACAGTTCAGATTGCTCATCCGGTGATGAGCACTGGATGCTCATCCCAGTCCATAAATAAAGGGGGGGTACTTGTATCAAAAGCGTAACTAAATCCTGAACAAGAAAGGGTGTGAATCTGTGGCATGCCTCTCAATATGTTCATGATCTTTGGCCCAAAAAAAACTGTTTAAGACCCTTGTTTTTGTAAGTAGTTGATAACTGCTTACCAAAACATATGCCTGCTGTTGTAATGTGAATAGCGGCTTTTGGAATACAATAGTTATCATTTCACCTTCCCTCAATTTTTTTATTTGTTCGTTCTTCAGTGAAAATCAATTTTAACATGATTCTCATGCTTAGAGCTATTGGATTCTTTGTATTTTAGGTGATATGTAGAACTTGGCAGACTGCCAATAAGATGAAGTTGCAGAGAGGAGCACTTCTGCCTAGTGATTCAAACAATGATAACTCTCGAATCAAAAGATATGTTGCAAAATACACCATAAATCCAGCAATAGCAAATGGGTTCTCACAGTTTGTTGGTTCAGTTGAGGTATGATGTATATTTCATGCCTTTCCATATTAAGAATGAATTTTTCATGAAAGGAAAAATCTAAATTTTGCACCTATACTATGTCAAAGAACCCTTGGTTTAATTCATTACTTCCTGAAATAGGATGTAATTGTCATTATACCTTCTGACCAATTGAAATAAAAATGTTATGGGGATGTGGCGCTGAGAGAGAAGAGGAAAAGAACAAGTGCAGGTTATTGAACTCTGAAATGGTAATATAAGGGGAGGGGGCATAGGAGAGAGAATGCTCTCCTCTCAAATATTCATACGTGAGTAGTCTTGCTTTGCTATTGTTTTCATTTAGCTTTCATTTCTGTGACTAGTTTGCTGTAATTCTGGGTTTAATTGCCTGCAGACTTTCAATTATCTTAGTAAGAATAGGACCACTGGCTACCACCTTCATTCTGACATTGATTAAGATTAATCTCATATTTGAGCATAAATAATACATATTACAGCTTGGTTCTGTCAGCTTTGGTATTTGAAATGGTTGGCCAGGGCACGATAAGAACAGGGATGGCAGGATAATGGAAGTTTTGGAGAAGAGGGTTGAATCTGCAGATTCTGATGTTGCAATGATGAAGGAGTACTTTTCTCACCTTCAGGACAAACTCGATTGGCTTCCATTGGGAAACACAGGTGATGGCAGAGGAAAGGAGGTTGTGGGAGCTAGTTCGAGTTGCTGGTTGAGTCAAGGGACAAATAGGGGGATGAAGCAAACGATGGGAAGGTGCTTGAACAGAAGGATATGCTCGCTTAGAGGAAGCTCAAAAATACTCATGCTTGCTGGAGATGACCCTGTAACGATAAGGTGGTTCATTGGAGTGATATGTTTTTAGTCAATAATATTGGCGAGGAATAAAAGGTTGAAGCTGCTGCAGTGAGTATGGAGGATAAGGCCTTAATGGGCTTCAATGGAATGCTCTTGGCCTCTTGGGTATCCATAGCATTGTGGGAAGCTTTTAAGGATCTAGTGAGTCAGTTACACAGTAAGCAACTGGAAAAGATGTTGGGAACCTGATTAAGCTTGGAAACCAGGTTTTTAAGCTTGATAACTGGTGCCAAAATGATCGACCTATATTGTGCCTTGCCTCAGAGCCTCAGGTGTTAAGGCGAGCACCTTTGACTACGCTGGTCAGTAGTGAGCTTTAAGGATCAGGTTGCCTTCTAGCAAGGGAACACAATGGTGGTGTTTATTCATTGATTGGACATTGAAAGATGTGAGACCTGGCTCTAGTAAGTAATTGTACAGGATTCCAGCAAGGTTTTCTTGGTTTTCCAGCAATGAGATCCAAGTTGAATCAGGCTCGTATGCTAAATTGATGTTAGAAGGGTGAAGGGGGAAAGAGAAGGAAGAGGGATAATTTGAGGAGGGAGAAGCAGAGGAAATTGAGGGATACAGAGCTCAAAAATATTCAATATTATTGTACTCATCAGAAGTTCTAATAATTGAGGAATAAGTGGGGCTATTTGCGGAAGCATAATTCTAAATCTAGTTAAACGCTGCTATTACCCCCAAAAAAAGTAGGATAAACTTATATTCTAGTTGAAGATAACTACATCCTAGATAGAATAAGATAGATAGGATAAGATAATCCCGAATATCTTTTCTTACTTTGACACTGGGAGAATCTAACTCTTAAGAGACAAGCATATAATAGATTTTGTCAGAGTTACAGATTTTCCTAAGATTTTCGTAATCTCAGGCTGAATTTTCCATTTTCCATTTTCCATCACTAAGATGATATCAATCCACTGATTCTCTGCAGGTGGGTAAGTTAGCTGATCTAGTGCTATGGAAACCATCATTTTTTGGTGCAAAACCTGAGATGGTCATCAAAGGCGGTGCAATTGCATGGGCTAACATGGGTGATCCAAATGCAAGTATCCCCACACCTGAACCGGTAAAGTTTACCCATCTGACTAGATTGACTTGGCTATTATATCAAAGATGGTGGTCATGCTTATCGTTAGAGGGATTCAGTAACATCTAATCCTCCTTTTGTTCCAAAAATTACGCTTCCGTAGCTTTTGATATATGTTACAAACCCCCCCGGGGGGGGGTTGCCCCTACATGCTCTATTTTTCCGTTATTTAAGCTAGCTTTTGCACAATGTATTTTCCCAAAGGTATTGGTGAGAGTCTAAGTAGTTAGGACAATTCTGGTTTCCTGTACTTCAACTAAAGCGAAAATACTAAATTTTTGTAGGTGATGATGAGGCCTATGTTCGGTGCATTTGGCAAGGCTGCTAGTAATCACTCCATTGCTTTTGTGAGCAAGGCATGAAACCTTCTTTCTCTTTTTCAAATAAATTTAGATCCTCTCCCTTTCCAATCCCTTCCATTTATCTCAATTCTAATCTGTCAGCATAGGACTGATCTGAATTGTTATACCATATTGGAGGTGCAATATTCACTTCTTTCCTTTCCCATTTTATTTGGATTATGGATCTATATGAAAATGATTGAGTGGAACCATCAGAAGACCCGTCAAATCAATCCAATGACTAAAAATTAGAGTTGAAACAAATGGAAAGTTTTGCGTAAAGAAGGTAGGGTTAAGGTCCAAATTTACCCATAAAGTATTTGTGAATGAACATCTGGCACCATAACGCTCACCTTGGTTTAAAATTGCCCATGAAGATTCTAAATGGATGCAAGCCATGGATGTTAATTTAAGCAAATGTCCATTAGCTTTTAGAATATAAACACGTGTGGGGCCCATCATTGTAAAGTAACAAGCGTTCGCTTAAATAAACAGCCATGACATTTTTGCACCCTTTTAGAATCCTCATGGGGATTTTTACACTCAAGTGAACATTATAATGCAAGGCGCCCGTTTGTGGATACTTCATGGTTTTTCTAGGCCTATCAAGTCATATCTGAGTATTATTAGGCCCAAGTGACTGTAACTATCCGAATGTGATTTTTCCATGCATAAGGTTCTAGACCTTACTTAAGAGTAATCAGGTTATTTGTTTCTTCTGCTCTGATTCTTGACTCACGTTGTTGCTTTCTTACAAAACTAACAAACAGGCAGCGCTAGAGGAGGGAGTAAAAGCTTCATATGGTCTGCTCAAGAGGGTGGAAGCCGTGGCGAATGTGAGGAAGCTCACAAAACAAGACATGAAGCTCAATGACGCGCTTCCTCATATCACTGTGGACCCTGAGAGTTTCACTGTTACAGCTGATGGCGAGGTCCTTACCTGCGTTGCAGCCTCCTCTGTTCCCCTTTCTCGGAACTATTTCCTCTTTTAATCTCAACCATGTGCACTTCAGTCCATGGAATTGGTGTCTTAGGAAAGAAGGACTATCCTATGTTCAATCTTTTGATCTTTTTTTTTGTTTTTGGGGTAAAAACAACTTGTATTAGATTTCGTGTGGTTCAACAATAATGAGTTTCGACCGAATCTCTCGTAAAACTTGCCATTGCTGAATCTGTCCCACAATTTGATTACCCAACATTATTATCATTCGTCGTAATCTGATGCTTTGCAATATATAGTGTGTAGATAGATTTGGATTCTCTGGTACTGCTACAATTTCGATTTCTAATTTTGCTTAAAAGAAAAACTTGATACTTGGATGTTAAAAGAATATACAAAATAGTAGTATTTTCATTATAAATTAAAAAAAAATAATTATCAAAAGTAAAAATAAAAATGGTATCCCTTTTTATAGTAAGACTAATCTTATTGAAGATAAGTAAAATGCTATGCCTAATGGCGTTTATTAGCCAATTTTAACAGTTCAAAATCTGCTGTGAAAATGAAAAAGGCAACATTTTATTCTTTTATAATTTTTAATCAGGTCATTGTAGGTATTATCACTATGCGAATGGCGACTAACGCTCTCTCTGATAGCGGTGGAGGAGGTCTACTGGACGATGGTGATCCAGTGACAAGAAGAAGGAAAAAATACCAAAAAGTTAGAAAGGAACAGGCAGGAAACTCTGAGAAAGTACAAGAGAAGGAATCAGAAAGTCAAAAAGAAGAGAATGCTGAATCCTTCAAAGAAAAGCTGATGGGAAAGGATCCAAACAAGTGCTCAAGTGATCAGAAAGGGAGCAAAGTCTTTGATGATGCTTGGAACGATTATCTTGATTTGATGAAAGGCTATTTCAGTAATGAAATGGTAGATAATGATCAAAACCAGACCAAGGATGAAGATAAGGACTTCCCAATGCTAAAGGTTTCTAGGGAAGAGTTTGAGCTTTGGTGTGCACCATGGAGAAAATCATTGATCATAAAACTATTGGGGAAAACGATCCCATTACGGACCATGAAAGAACACCTAGAGAGAATATGGAAAACTAAAGAGCCTTCCACCACCAGGGACTTAGACAATGGGTTCTTTGTCGCTTCCTTTGACGATGAGGAAGATATGAATCTCATTTATCAAGAGGGACCATGGATGATAGCAGATAGATATCTCATTGTGCAAAGATGGAGGCCTAATTTTGATCCATGGAATGCTGAAATACAGAAGAAGATAGGAGCATGGGTCAGAATTCCACTATTACCTCTAGAGTTTTTCAACATTGAAAGCTTGAGAAGAATCGGGAACATTTTAGGAAGAACATTAAAAGTAGACATGATCACCTATACTTGTGAAAGGGGAAGGTTTGCTCGTATTTGCATGGAAATGGATCTTCAAAAGAGGCTCAAATCAGGCGTAACCATATTTGGAACTAGAAGGGTAGTAGAATATGAAGGTCTCCATTTGATTTGTTCCAATTGTGGCAAGTACGGACATCACCGAGATGTTTGTCCAAAGAACTGTAAAACTCAGAAAGATAGTGAAAAGGCATCTCCGTTATCAACAAAGGAAGCCCAGAATCAGACCAGCAAGATAGTTCATGCTAAGTTAAATGCAGAAACAAAAGAACCAAGTACCAATCAGCAGAAGAATCTCCACAATATCTCAGAAAGCAGAATCTCAAAGAGGCCAAATGAGGAACCAGATGCTGGAGGTGCGACTAGAGTTAACACACCACTGCGATTAGAAAGGCTTGGCGTGTGGAATCTAGTTCAACGGTCGAGAGGAAAAAAATTTGGAAACAATGCTAATCTTGGTGCATGAGCAAATACTCAAGAGAAGAATCAGTTGAGTATTAAGAGCGCCAATCAAGCTCACGAACCTCGCAACGGAAAGAAAAATGAAATCCAAAATAGGATAGAGAGTGCTAAAATAGCACAAGTGGGAACCGGTAATCCTAGATACTCTAGGAAGGAATCACTATTTATGAAAAGGTGGGTCCCGGTGGAGCAGAAAAATTTATCTAAAAATAAGAATGGAAAATCAAGAAAGGATATTATTTTCCCAGAAGCAACAAGAAGCAACATGACCCAAGATTCAGGAAAAATAGATTTTTGGTGGGCCCACAATCCTTTTGAAGTGCTTATGGATACAAGTGATAATAGGCCTAAAAGTGACGTCAACATTGTAAGCTCTTCTATCTCTAATGGGCCTCACTTAAAAAACAATTCTAAAGATAAAAACAAGCAGTCTTTGGACGACATTCAAATGCCTTCGGAGAACCAGATTTGTGATGCTGTGATGGTCCAATCTCCAACAGAAAGAGTCCAAGTGTTGCACTCTCCTCCATCAACAATCAACTCAGGTAATATTTCTAACTCTCAGGGGTTTGTAAGCTTGAACGCCCCTCCCTCAAATTCTTCATGAATTGTTTATTTTGGAATTGTAGAGGCACAGGGTCCAAGGCCTTTCCTGGGCTCATTAGAGGGGGAAAAAAGGTATAAGGTTAATTTTTGTGCTTTATTTGAAAGTAAATTTGGTGGAGAAAAAGCAAAGAAAAATTAGTAAAAGCCTCGGTTTCCAATATTGTGAAATTGTTGATTCCTCGGGTTTTTGAGAGGGTATTTGGGCTTCTTAGAATAATGACAATTTTGTGTTCTCCATTATTGAAGCAAATGACCAATTTATTCATGTGATGGCTGAAAACAAAGATAAAAAAAATTTTGTTGCCTTGGTTTATGCCTCCTTGGTTTATAGGAGGGGACTTCAACGGCACTCTTTTTGTTCGCGAACGCAAAACTAATGCCATAAAAACCACTTCGATGGATAGAGAATTCTACAGCTAGGTTCAAAATATGGAACTATATGACATGGGATGTTCTGGACCTTTTTACACTTGGAAAAGGGAGGGATGTGAAAGTCGTATTGATCGTGTCCTTTCCAACATAAAGGCCAAGAACATGTACATTGATGCTATTGTGAAGAACCTTTCGTGGTTTAAATCTGACCATCGACCACTCCTTCTGCAGCTCTGTATAGATATGTTTTCTCACAAAAAATTTAATCATCCATTTCAATTTAATGCCCCTTGGATTCTCTATGATGATTTTAGCATATTAGTCAAAGAGAATTGGAAGACAAGCTTAAATTGGATTGAGAATATTGATAACTTCACAAAAGATCTTGTTGAGTGGAGCAAGATGACCTTCGGCCACTTGGGAAGGAAGAAAAGTTTATTGATGGGAAGACTTGAGGGCATATCTCGCACCATCTCTTCCTCGGGACCTTCCTCTTCTATGGAACAACTCCAACAAAAACTTTAGGTTGAGCTAGAGGAGATCATCATTCAAGAAGAACTCTTGTGGGCTCAAAAAGCCAAATGTGAATGGTATAATCTTGGGGACAATAACTCAAAATTCTTTCATGCCAGAGCCAGTAGCAAGCATCGTCAAAATAGAATTGAAGCAATTCAAAAAAGCAACAGTGAATGGACTAACGATGTTGATGCTATAAGAAGCATGGCTGCGGATTTTTTTATGAGCTTGTTCAAGGATGAAGGAATCATGGTAAGAAACTTGGATACTAATATCACCTATCCAGAGATTAATAATGAGAAAATGATGACTTTGTCCAAAAATATAGAAGGTGAGGAAATTAAAGCAACTCTATTCAGTATGGGTGCTCTAAAATCCCCAAGACCTGACGGTATGAATGCTCTCTTTTATCAAAGTCAATGGGAATTTGTTGGTAACTCGATCACTAATTTGGTGCAAAAAGGCTTTATTGAGCTAGAAATTATTGCATCTATCAATCATACTTTTATTGTTCTCATTCCTAAGAAGGACAAACCAAAGACTATTAGAGACTTTTGCCCTATTAGCTTTTGCAATGTTATTTACAAGATCATTACAAAGGTGATTGTGAATAGAATGAAGAGTTTTTTGCCCGATATTATTTCTCTTAACCAATGCAACTTTATACCAGGTCGTACAAGTGTAGATAATATCATCATAGCCTAGGAAGTGGTCTATTTGATGAGAAATATGAAGGGTAAAAGAGGCTTTATGGCAATCAAGATAGATCTAAGGAAAGCATATGACCGCATTAGTTGGGAATTTGTTTGCAACTGCCTTGATGAGATTAATATACCAAAAGATATGAAAGAAGTTATTATCTCACGCATCTCTTCATCCTCAATGCAGATCCTTTGGGAAGGGGAATAAGCCAATAAGTTTAATCCCTCTTGAGGCCTCCGTCAAGGCCATCCTCTTTCCCACCTCTTCATTCTTTGCATGGAGAAATTAGCACGCATAATCCATAATGAGATGAGCTGAGGGCACCGTAAACCCATCAACCTAGGTAAGAATAGCCCTTCCATATCACATTTATTTTTTGTTGATGATTTGCTAATTTTTGCAAAAGCTAGCAGAGAACAGGTGAAAGTTATTAAAAACTGTTTGAAGCAATTCTATGAAGCATCGAGATAAAAAGTGAATGAAGGAAAAACCAAAGTGTTCTTTTCAAGCAATGTGAATCACAACAAAGCAGGCCAACTTAGTGAGGAACTTGGATTTGCACGCACGGCGGACCTTGGCAACTATCTCGGTGTTCCCTTGAACCATGATTGTGTTTCAAAGGAGACATACCAATACATTATAGATAAAATGAAAAGCAAGCTCAGTAGCTGGAAGATCAATAGCGTGTCTTTCGCAGGACGGGACATACTAGTCAAATCTATTGTTAATGCCATGCCTACCTACGTCATGCAAACGGCCTATATCCCGAATATTACCTGTAATACTATTGAAAAACAGGCTCAAGACTTCCTTTGAGGATCCTCTGATGAGAAACATAGGATGCACCTTGTCTCATAGGATGAGGTGTGTAAGGATAAGCATTCTGGTGGTCTTGGTATGCGTGACATGAAGCAACAAAACTGAGCTTTTATGATGAAACTTGGTTGGGGACTAGTTACCACACGAGACTTTCTTTGGGTCAAGGTGATTCGCCACAAGTATAGATGTGGAAATGATCTTATTCCCCATATTAACATCAAGAAAGTAGGTTTTAATACTTGGAGAGGAATTAAAAGCAGTTGTCATCATGTGAAAGAGGGAATAGAAGAAGCCAAAGTTAGCCATATTAATGACATTACCCGATGGAAGTGGAATAAAAGTGGTGCCTTTACCACAAAATCAACCTACACGTCCCTCAATTCTCCCTTAGTTGATAAGCCTGGTAACTAGAAGCATATTTG